TCATGGTGCTGGTCAGTCGTGGTGCTGGTCAGCTGTGATGCTGGTCAGTCGTGGTGCTGGTCAGCCGTGATGCTGGTCAGTCGTGGTCAGTCGTGGTGCTGGTCAGTCGTGTTGCTGGTCAGCCGTGATGCTGGTCAGTCGTCGACAACACTCCCGCAAACAAGTTACCAGTCATCTACAAATGTTATTGTGATATTTATGAATTATGCGTCGCTTTACACATATCATATGAAATAAGTGTCATTTCATGCTGCATAATTTATGGGTGATTTTGTGTCAAGTTTAATGGCTACAAAAACGTTTCTATCAAGATGCTGAAACCTCGCTAAGTGGCCACAATAAACGGGTGCTAAAGTGTACACACAATAACACATAAATCATACAGGACGACAGCACTGCATTGGAAGCTTACAAGTGTATACCAATTCCTGGCCTCTCTTCAAAAATCGTAATTATAATTACTTGGAATGATTTTATAAGACTTAAAAGCAAAGTGATAGTATCACAAGTTTAACAGTGTGCCAATCATCCTCTGATATCATTAATTCTAATCAAAGTAATATTGAGCCATACAAAACTTATTCTGCATATCTAAATTATTTTGAAAGAAGTTGAATGACGAAGGTTATGGATGTCCTGGTCTAGATTTTGACACCTCATTACCCTAGATCAGTTCTGACTTTCCTCACTGGCCTCCAGATCTAGAAGGACGAAGCAGATTTGTCATGCTGTTCTACTTATAACTTACATCGAAATTTTCTTTTTTTTATTTTGTGTGTTTTTACAATCCCCTATCAAAGTATTGTCTTTAAAATATTTTGTTATACAAATTTTAGTAAAAATAAATTTTGTAAATTTTCAGAGCTAGGTATTTGTTATCGATTTATTTATTATTATAAAACACGTAGTTCTATGATGTGATGACCTTTGACACTATTGTGTTGCTGATGATACAAAAGGTTACCAAGACAACATGGACGCCTGTCAGTCGCATTGTCAATACCTGTATGTAATTTGTAGTGTTTATTCTTCATATTAAATCTACATTTATTTGTTACCGCTTCCTATGGCAACAAATAGATTCATGTCGACCTCATCATCATAATCAGATACAACAATTGGAGAACGTCAAGTGTAATTAACAGTATCAGACCAACAATAGGAGTGTAATTAACAGTATCAGACCAACAATAGGAGTGTAATTAACAGTATCAGACCAACAATAGGAGTGTAATTAACAGGATCAGACCAACAATAGGAGTGTAATTAACAGTATCAGACCAACAATAGGAGTGTAATTAACAGGATCAGACCAACAATAGGAGTGTAATTAACAGGATCAGACCAACAATAGGAGTGTAATTAACAGGATCAGACCAACAATAGGAGTGTAATTAACAGGATCAGACCAACAATAGGAGTGTAATTAACAGGATCAGACCAACAATAGGAGTGTAATTAACAGGATCAGACCAACAATAGGAGTGTAATTAACAGGATCAGACCAACAATAGGAGTGTAATTAACAGGATCAGACCAACAATAGGAGTGTAATTAACAGGATCAGACCAACAATAGGAGTGTAATTAACAGGATCAGACCAACAATAGGAGTGTAATTAACAGGATCAGACCAACAATAGGAGTGTAATTAACAGGATCAGACCAACAATAGGAGTGTAATTAACAGGATCAGACCAACAATAGGAGTGTAATTAACAGGATCAGACCAACAATAGGAGTGTAATTAACAGGATCAGACCAACAATAGGAGTGTAATTAACAGGATCAGACCAACAATCAGACCAACAATAGGAGTGTAATTAACAGGATCAGACCAACAATAGGAGTGTAATTAACAGGATCAGACCAACAATAATAGGAGTGGATCAGACCAACAATAGGAGTGTAATTAACAGGATCAGACCAACAATAGGAGTGTAATTAACAGGATCAGATCAACAATAGGAGTGTAATTAACAGGATCAGACCAACAATAGGATTGTAATTAACAGGATCAGACCAACAATAGGAGTGTAATTAACAGGATCAGACCAACAATAGGAGTGTAATTAACAGGATCAGACCAACAATAGGAGTGTAATTAACAGGATCAGACCAACAATAGGAGTGTAATTAACAGGATCAGACCAACAATAGGAGTGTAATTAACAGGATCAGACCAACAATAGGAGTGTAATTAACAGGATCAGACCAACAATAGGAAAACGTTCAGTGTTATTAACAGGATCAGACCAACAATAGGAGTGTAATTAACAGGATCAGACCAACAATAGGAGTGTAATTAACAGGATCAGACCAACAATAGGAAAACGTTCAGTGTTATTAACAGGATCAGACCAACAATAGGAGTGTAATTAACAGGATCAGACCAACAATAGGTAAACGTTCAGTGTTATTAACAGGATCAGACCAACAATAGGAGTGTAATTAACAGGATCAGACCAACAATAGGAAAACGTTCAGTGTTATTAACAGTATCAGACCAACAATAGGAGTGTTATTAACAGGATCAGACCAACAATAGGAAAACGTTCAGTGTTATTAACAGTATCAGACCAACAATAGGAGTGTTATTAACAGTATCAGACCAACAATAGGAGTGTTATTAACAGGATCAGACCAACAATAGGAAAACGTTCAGTGTTATTAACAGGATCAGACCAACAATAGGAGTGTAATTAACAGGATCAGACCAACAATAGGAAAACGTTCAGTGTTATTAACAGGATCAGACCAACAATAGGAGTGTAATTAACAGGATCAGACCAACAATAGGAGTGTAATTAACAGGATCAGACCAACAATAGGAAAACGTTCAGTGTTATTAACAGGATCAGACCAACAATAGGAGTGTAATTAACAGGATCAGACCAACAATAGGAAAACGTTCAGTGTTATTAACAGGATCAGACCAACAATAGGAAAACCTTCAGTGTTATTAACAGGATCAGACCAACAATAGGAGTGTAATTAACAGGATCAGACCAACAATAGGAGTGTAATTAACAGGATCAGACCAACAATAGGAAAACGTTCAGTGTTATTAACAGGATCAGACCAACAATAGGAGTGTTATTAACAGGATCAGACCAACAATAGGAAAACGTTCAGTGTTATTAACAGGATCAGACCAACAATAGGAAAACCTTCAGTGTTATTAACAGGATCAGACCAACAATAGGAGTGTAATTAACAGGATCAGACCAACAATAGGAGTGTAATTAACAGGATCAGACCAACAATAGGAGTGTAATTAACAGGATCAGACCAACAATAGGAGTGTAATTAACAGGATCAGACCAACAATAGGAGTGTAATTAACAGGATCAGACCAACAATAGGAGTGTAATTAACAGGATCAGACCAACAATAGGAGTGTAATTAACAGTATCAGACCAACAATAGGAGTGTAATTAACAGGATCAGACCAACAATAGGAGTGTAATTAACAGGATCAGACCAACAATAGGAGTGTAATTAACAGTATCAGACCAACAGAGCCTGAATTAAGAAATGTTACAAATTTAGTTGATCTTTTGTCTGTATTATCATATCTACATATTTATATGGAAGGCATGAAGTTCATGGTTCCTTGTCTCGGACCTGATCAGTATGTTGTGTTACCGATCTATAAAATCTTGTCTTTGTGACGACCAGATCTTGTGTTTACACTTCATAGAATATTAATTTAGTTCCTTGCATTGGATTATTTTGTCGGTGAAGAAAAAGATAAACCATGAAAATTTAACTTTTATATATATTTTCATTGATATGTTGCCAGCGTGTTAGTTTGTAGTTTATTTGGTTTGTGTGTTTTTGGTTTCGGTTTTGTTTTTTGTTTTTTTCTAATATGGATTCTAAGAAATCTTAATCACAGAATCACACTATTCCTATAAGCAGCTTCTTGCCAAGCTTTAAGGGCTGTTGATTCATCGTTGTGATACATCAATCATTCGTCAATCTGTTTTGTCAACTGATCTATCCACGCGAATGTCTTTACAACATATTACCACGATTGAGAAATGTTTCCCATGGTCATCAGTAAGTGAGACGGATTGTCGTTCCTCGTATGGAATAAAAAAAAAGAAACATTGATAGTTTAAAGACTTCAAATAAGATGTTAAATTAATGATAAAAAGAATGTGGTTAGGGGAGTGTGCGGTGGCTGGTCACTGTCCAATAATACGTAAGGTAGGCCGTGTCAGGTGTCACAGTGGCGACGGTCTCATTGTAAAAATTATTGATGAACGACGATATCGGTAAATCAGTCAGTTTAACCTTGGCTATACAGGGTTTTCCAGCAATTATCAAGATCTGTCATATTGATACGAGTTGCAGTAATTTCATTTTACAACTTTCTAAGTTGTCAGTCCAATAATTTGTCGTATATTTACTTTTTAAATACATTTTAATTGCATTCGCAATGTCAACCACTAACGTCTTGTCTGTTTCGGGCTGTTATATATCTAGGGAATAACCATCTGAGATCAGAGTATGTTGCAGTTACAATTAATAATTATCCGTGTTTAATCAACTTTGATTGGAGTCTAATGGGCTAATGCAATATGTCTAGACATTTTCAATCATTGCGTATTAAAGTTTTAAAAAATAAAAACACTTCAACGTTTTTAACCACTAAATATCGCATGTAATGAGCCGTTAGCTTCTGAGTCAGATCCTGAAAAATATCATCTTATTATAATCCTGAGTTGTGCAGGTGAGCTATGTACAGCTCACTAGCAGGTTAACTATGTACAGCTTACTAGCAGGTGAACTATGTACAGCTCACTAGCAGGTTAACTACGTACAGCTCACTAGCAGGTTAACTAGGTTCTGTGAAGATTTCCGTGTCATCAATGAAAGTCCAACTGGGCTTCTGTAGAGGTTACTCTACGACCGACAACATCGTCTCTATATATATGTTATTTCAACTAATAAAAACTCAAAAGAAAAAATATTTACATTGCTTTTCCATTGATGTCGAGAAAGCTTTCGATACCATCTGGTGAGAAGCACTGTGGCACGAACTTTTTGTCAGTAACATTGATAAACATACATAAAATCATTGTTGATATCGAAACTAAGTCCAAAATAGTAAACAACGGAGAAACGTCAAGCTTCTCAGTAAACAACGGAGAAACGTCAAGCTTCTCAGTAAACAACGGAGAAACGCCAACCTTCTTAGTAAACAACGGAGAAACGCCAAGCTTCTCAGTAAACAACGGAGAAACGCCAACCTTCTTAGTAAACAACGGAGAAACGCCAAGCTTCTCAGTAAACAACGGAGAAACGCCAAGCTTCTCAGTAAATAACAGAGAAACGTCAAGCTTCTCAGTAAACAACGGAGAAACGTCAAGCTTCTCAGTAAACAACAGAGAAACGCCAAGCTTCTCAGTAAACAACGGAGAAACGCCAAGCTTCTCAGTAAATAACAGAGAAACGTCAAGCTTCTTAGTAAACAACGGAGAAACGTCAAGCTTCTCAGTAAATAACAGAGAAACGCCAAGCTTCTCAGTAAACAACGGAGAAACGCCAAGCTTCTCAGTAAACAACAGAGAAACGCCCAGCTTCTCAGTAAACAACGGAGAAACGCCAAGCTTCTTAGTAAACAACAGAGAAACGCCAAGCTTCTTAGTAAATAACAGAGAAACGCCAAGCTTCTCAGTAAACAACGGAGAAACGCCAAGCTTCTTAGTAAATAACAGAGAAACGTCAAGCTTCTCAGTAAACAACGGAGAAACGCCAAGCTTCTCAGTAAACAACGGAGAAACGCCAAGCTTCTCAGTAAACAACAGAGAAACGCCCAGCTTCTCAGTAAACAACAGAGAAACGTCAAGCTTCTTAGTAAATAACGGAGAAACGCCAAGCTTCTCAGTAAATAACAGAGAAACGCCAAGCTTCTCAGTAAACAACGGAGAAACGTCAAGCTTCTCAGTAAACAACGGAGAAACGTCAAGCTTCTCAGTAAACAACGGAGAAACGCCAAGCTTCTTAGTAAACAATGGAGAAACGTCAAGCTTAACACAATGTCTAAAGACAGACTTGGAGTGTATTTTAAATAATTCTGTCTGTTGTATGCTGATGGCACGATATTGTTACCATGAAGTACAGATTATCTCCACAATATGCTGAATAACTTCATAACTGATTCAATCAATGGGATTTGAAGGTTAATTTATCAAATTAAACAAAATGATATTTGATCGACAGAAGATATCAAGTCATTGAAAGTTCAATATCGATGGTGAAACCTTATATAAAATATATATATATATGGAACATAATTATCTTGGTATTTTTTTCATGTCTGGAAATTTTATAAGAGCTTTAAAGAAACAAACACATAAAGGAACTGGAGCCATGCATGAGGTATGACAGAAGGTAGACTACACAGTCTAACAATACAACTGGACTTGTTTGATAGTAAAAGTAACACCGGTATTATTATATGGCTGTGAAGTAGTGAGGGTTTTCTACCGTCGTAGAAAGAGTGCATTTAAAATTATGTAAACTGCTGCTTCATCCGAAGTCCTATACTCCTGATTTTATGGTATATGGAGAGCTCGGTAGACTTCCGCGCGAACCTGAAATTAAAACCAGAATATTTTGTGGTCAAAGTTAACAGAATCTCAAGATAAAATCCGTAATTTATTACACAAAGTATACCATATACTATTGTAAATAAAGAAAATGGTGGTTCAGTTGCATTGACCGAGTGTATAAAACATATATTAAATAATTGTGGACTTTCCAATATATGGTTTAACCAAAATACTATTCATCCAAAATGGTTTATTTCAAAAATAAAACTTACCTTAACTGATCAATTCAAACAAACCTGCACTGAAACATGCGAAATCTCTCCTGAATATACCATGTACAGGGTTTTAATGATTTTTTAAAAATTACTTAAGTAATTTATCAAGAAAAGATATAACAGAACTAATTATTTAACAAGGGAAAACCGAATCTGCCAAATATGCAATAAAAGAGACATTGGTGATGAGTATCATTATATATTGAAATGTTCGGATTTAGAAAAAGAAAAAAATAAGTTGTCAGTGTCTACAACCTACAATCTCGTAGATTGTACAACCAGCAGTGTCTTCCATCTTCAATCTCGAGGGTAGAATAACCATCAGTGTCTTCCATCTTCAATCTCGAGGGTAGAATAACCATCAGTGTCTTCCATCTTCAATCTCGAGGGTAGAATAGCCATCAGTGTCTTCCACCTACCATCTCGAGGGTTGTACTACTAGTAGTGTCTTCCACCTACCATCTCGAGGGTTGTACTACTAGTAGTGTCTTCCACCTACCATCTCGAGGGTTGTACTACTAGTAGTGTCTTCCATCTTCAATCTCGAGGGTAGAATAGCCATCAGTGTCTTCCACCTACCATCTCGAGGGTTGTACTACTAGTAGTGTCTTCCACCTACCATCTCGAGGGTTGTACTACTAGTAGTGTCTTCCACCTACCATCTCGAGGGTTGTACAATAGACACTTATGAAGAAAAACTCTCAGTTGTAGATACAGTAGTTCTATGTTACGCATAAAACTGCACCGTGCAGTCGTTCTTTCCTTCTCGTTGATGCCAAGGACCTTAATTTTGAAATCTTTTAAAGAGTCGACTGATGAAAACCCAAAGTGACCGAGAGAAATTTCAGAATAAAGATGATTCAATGATTTTATTTCTCCTATATCTGACAATTTGAGGTCACGTGGTGTACATACCGTTTACAGTAGCGATGGCTTAAAGATGTGAGTGTAAATCATAGCGATTTGCGTACCCCGATCGTGTGTGTACCTGTGTGATCAGGTGTGATAAGTCAGCAATATAATGTTCTCTTTCACACTTTCCTCCAGATAAAAGTACGTCCTTAAGGGTAAGGGTATTGACTTAACCGACAGGTCACAGGACACCTGTAAACAACAATACGATCACTTCACACTATAGATATAGCTGTTAATGTTTTTCTTGGTCTTCAACATCTTTAAATGGGAAAAAATGTGAATAAAAACTGTAAAACAGTTTTAAAAGCTTTGTCGATAGTCAACAAGTCGTTATATAAGATCTGATGGTCGATAATGAACAGTGTTAAACGTGATTTGATGAAGATTTAAACTTTAGTGAGTAACTCTCCTGTTGTTCTATAAAATGCTGACTGCACGTGACGTTTGACTAACAGTAATGATTACAGAGAATATATTTGCTGTCCTGACAAGCATGTCCACAGTGGTAAGGAAACATACATCTTATTGCCTGAAATCCCGTTATATGAGACCACTCTTCAGAAGTCGATTAGGTTTTTCACAGGGCAGACTATAGAGTGTAAAAAACCTATTTAATATTGGAATCAATTAAGTATTCATGAAAGCTTCACATGACAAACTACAGAGAATATATTTTCTATATAAAATTGCAATAAAGCCTCGATCAAACACCTAAACGGCCTTACATACGTCATAATTTATACAGCAGAAACCGGAACCATGTTTGATCAGATGTATAAGTGTGTCAGCGGAGACAATCACCACCGTCCAACCGATATATATATATATATGTGTATACAGCCAAGGTCACTACCCATTTACCTACATCTCTGACAAGGCACAACACCATTAACCATATCTTGTAGCAGGTCGTATAATAGATGATAGTGCAGTTTTTAATAATATTAAAATATGAATGAAAATAGGGCTAAAACAAATTAGAAATATTTGTCTGCAGACTCGTTTATCGGAACATCCTGCGGTTTCCTGTCAAAATACTGAATTATATTATAATGTTACTGAAAAACTTGACAGCAAAGCCTTATACAGGTGGTTAAATCACCACAAGTCAGGACTGCAATAAAAATTCACACCTACGATGATTTTGATTTCCCCAAATAGAGAATCAGTCCTGCGTGTGTAACACCCGATATATCCTGCAGTAGAGGGGGTTACCATGACCTAACGCACTCAGTCATAGCGTTTAATTACTATCCTTATCATCTAAATACATTATGTCATATCTAGCCTTTGAACCCTATATTGAACACTTCAGTCTGAAAATTGATATTTTGATTGCTCACGAGAACAGTCATTGCACTCTGTGAACGTAAGGCTCGACGACACACCCAGGAAAATCTGGCTGAAGTATTGTTAAAACGCAAACAAAACAAGACAAAAAATATCCAAACATTATATATGTATTAGCAGTACACTTCACTTCTGGCTATTTTATGTTTTATTTCAAGTTAGACAGTAAACAAACATATATATTGTAAATGATGAAACGGTTTGTATCTAATAATTTCTTTGTATATCAAACAGGTATTGTCATCAACACCGAATACCCAGTTATTTTATAGGGATATATAGACCCGTTATATCAAAGCGTTATATAAGACCAGGCCCCACTTGTACAAAACATCTCAACTTGAGATTTCCTCAAGCCCAGATTTTCCTCAGCTAATATCTCCTTGAAAATATCTTGTATGAAAATTCCTCAAGGAATTTCAGGACATCCTAGCCGATGCATTCCTCCTGTTCCTTGAGAAAATTTTATACAAGCCGTTTTTGAGGAGATATCAGCTGAGGAAAATCTCGACTTGAGGAAATCTCAAGTTGAGATGTTTTATACAAGTGGGGCCCGGTATATTACAGGGTTATATGGACCCGGTATATTACAGGGTTATATAGACCCGGTACATTACAGGGTTATATAGACCCGGTACATTACAGGGTTATATAGACCCAGTATATTACAGGGTTATATAGACCCGGTACATTACAGGGTTATATAGACCCGGTACATTACAGGGTTATATAGACCCGGTACATTACAGGGTTATATAGACCCAGTACATTACAGGGTTATATAGACCCGGTACATTACAGGATTATATAGACCCGGTACATTACAGGGTTATATAGACCCGGTACATTACAGGGTTATATAGACCCGGTACATTACAGGGTTATATAGACCCGGTACATTACAGGGTTATATAGACCCGGTACATTACAGGGTTATATAGACCCGGTACATTACAGGATTATATAGACCCGGTACATTACAGGGTTATATAGACCCGGTACATTACAGGGTTATATAGACCCGGTACATTACAGGGTTATATAGACCCGGTACATTACAGGGTTATATAGACCCGGTACATTACAGGGTTATATAGACCCGGTACATTACAGGGTTATGTAGACCCGGTACATTACAGGGTTATGTAGACCCGGTACATTACAGGGTTATGTAGACCCGGTACATTACAGGGTTATGTAGACCCGGTACATTACAGGGTTATGTAGACCCGGTACATTACAGGGTTATATAGACCCGGTACATTACAGGATTATATAGACCCAGTATATTACAGGGTTATAATGTATCCAGACATCGTTGTCTTATGATATAATTATGTGTAGTAAGTTCTCTTTAGATCTGAACCTTATTGATTGCCGATCGATTAATAAGAATTGAAGGTTTATTTTCTATTTTGAGTTTTTCCTTTTTTTATTTCTATGACGTTCTGAGAAAACTGGATTTCTGATTATAATACCTTGGAGGTTAAATATATGTCTTTATCTTTAAATTACTTTTCAGTTTCTTTTCGCCGATTAATATCAGAAAGCAATATGTATTTTGGACATTTCTACCTAGAAATCGAAGAAAGAACAGCTTTTTTCGTGGCAAGAAAGTACAGTGTCCTTTCCGTGGTCATAGCAACCATCAAGACGACAGACAACCAAATGAATTTCATCAACAACATTAAATTGTGTTCAATTATTAAAGATATAAAAAGACATTAAATGTGTCGCTACAGTTTGGTTCGTGTTCGTCACAACATTCACCGAATGTGAGAGTTTATCTCTGTTGTATCTGGTTGTAATGTGATTTACATGAATTTCGTTCATCGCTATGTAAGTTAGTGTGTGCTACACAAGGATGCTGGGACTACGGGTTCCTTTTATCTAAAGCATGACGCTGTGGTCATAGAAGTTGTTTTTAAATTTATATTTTTATGGTCGTATTCGTCAATTGTTCAGAATCCCTAGTGAGCTTAGCGTAATGTTGGCTATTGTTTACGTTATTTTGTGTTTCATAACATAATATTAAACCATATATGGTCAT